GACACTCATACCATCTGCATCTAACAGTTGGCTTCCAGTCTTTTCATACTCTCAGTCGCACAAGCAACCTGTCATTTAGCCTGCCACCTTTTCCTCTTCTTTTCCCAAGCAATCTGATGGGAAAAAATCTAATTAAATGTGTTAAGGTGTGGCAAAGCAAGCTCATAATGGAGTTCAATTTGGCTTTTTCCTATCCCCGTCTGGTCGCCAAATAGGAATGGGGTGAATTTTTGCAGTTTTTTCCCCTGTTTGTATGATTAAAAGGAATGTTGGGCGAGCCGGCCATAGCGAGGATGTTTTGGAAGGTAGCGACACAAAGGAGTCTTTATGGCTGTTTAGCTAATGGACCGCTTTAATGGACAGAAACGTTGATGGGTAGGAAATGATAGGGCTACGGCTATTGATTTACACGTGTAATGTGGCGGATGATTTTGGTTTGCATTCCATGGACAAGTGAATGTTGATGAAACCTGTGGCTGCATGCTAATGCCATCTCTTTGACATGAATCCAGCATTTTGTTCAAAGTCCGTTCAGTGATACTCTGATACATACTGTGAACAAAAATGGCAGGCACTACAATACTTTTGGTGTAGAAACAATATATATGTGACCCCGGACCACAAAACCAGTCATAAGGGTCAATTTTTTTTTTTATTGAGATTCATACATCATCAGAAATCTGAATAAATAAGATTTCCATTGATGTATGGTTTGTTAGAATAGGACAATATTTGGCCGAGATACAACTTGAAAATCTGCAATCTGAGGGTGCAAAAAAATCTAAAAATCTAAATAATCACCTTTAAAATTGTCCAAATGAAGTTCTTAGCAATGCATATTACTAATCAAAAAATAAGTTTTGATGTTTTGATATATTGAAAATGACAATATCTTCATGGAACATGATCTTTACTTAATATCCTAATGATTTTTGGCATAAAAACAAAATCGATCATTTTGACCCATACAATGTATCGTTGGCTATTGCTACAAATATATCCGTGCTACTTATGACTGGTTTTGTGGTGTGGTCCAGGGTCAAATATATTAGAGCTTCACGATTCTGGATTTCGGTAGTGACAATTTTAGATACTTTTGAACCTAGGTCAAAGATGCTAATCAGCACATCGTTAGGTAGCACAGTTTTGAACAGTTGTACACATATAAAAACTAAATGTTATGGAATAACTCTCCAAAAAGCGTGCTTAATTGCAGAAAAAAGTGTTCGGTAGTGACGTTCCTTAAAGTTACACACAGATTTCTCAGAATTTTGAACACATTTACCTCAAAATGATGGGGCCTTTCTATTCACCATGTAGTTATGCGAGAGAGGGGGACACAGGAATATTTCCTGATCATAAATTTAGGGGTGTGGTTAAAATCAGTCTCAGCCAATGGACTAAAACATACACTGTTTCAGTAGCGACATGAAAAATGCGGGACACTTTTCTTTTTTTTTTTTACATAAAGTTTCATCGTTTACAAAGAAATATATACATATACAGTGGGTACGGAAAGTATTCAGACCCCCTTAAATTTTTCACTCTTTGTTATATTGCAGCCATTTGCTAAAATCATTTAAGTTAATTTTTTTTCCTCATTAATGTACACACAGCACCCCATATTGACAGAAAAACACAGAATTGTTGACATTTATGCAGATTTATTAAAAAAGAAAAACTGAAATAACACATGGTCCTAAGTATTCAGACCCTTTGCTCAGTATTTAGTAGAAACACCCTTTTGATCTAATACAGCCATGAGTCTTGTTGGGAAAGATGCAACAAGTTTTTCACACCTGAATTTGGGGATCCTCTGCCATTCCTCCAAGTTGCAGATCCTCTCCAGTTCTGTCAGGTTGGATGGTAAACGTTGGTGGACAGCAATTTTTAGGTCTCTCCAGAGATGCTCAATTGGGTTTAAGTCAGGGCTCTGGCTGGGCCATTCAAGAACAGTCACAGAGTTGTTGTGAAGCCACTCCTTCATTATTTTAGCTGTGTGCTTAGGGTCATTGTCTTGTTGGAAGATAAACCTTCGGCCCAGTCTGAGGTCCTGAGCACTCGAGAAGGTTTTCGTCCAGGATATCCCTGTACTTGGCCGCATTCATCTTTCCCTCGATTGCAACCAGTCATCCTGTCCCTGCAGCTGAAAAACACCCCCACAGCATGATGCTGCCACCACCATGCTTCACTGTTGGGACAGGTGATGAGCAGTGCCTGGTTTTCTCCACACATACCGCTTAGAATTAAGGCCAAAAAGTTATATCTTGGTCTCATCAGACCAGAGAATCTTATTCAGGTGTTTTTTAGCAAACTCCATGCAGGCTTTCATGTGTCTTGCACTGAGGAGAGGCTTCCGTCGGGCCACTCTGCCATAAAGCCCCGACTGGTGGAGGGCTGCAGTGATGGTTGACTTTCTACAACTTTCTCCCATCTCCCAACTGCATCTCTGGAGCTCAGCCACAGTGATCTTTGGGTTCTTCTTTACCTCTCTCACCAAGGCTCTTCCCCCCCGATAGCTCAGTTTGGCCGGACGGCCAGCTCTAGGAAGGGTTCTGATCATCCCAAACGTCTTCCATTTAAGGAATGGAGGCCACTGTGCTCTTGGGAACCTTAAGTGCAGCAGAAACTTTTTTGTAACCTTGGCCAGATCTGTGCCTTGCCACAATTCTGTCTCTGAGCTCTTCAGGCAGTTCCTTTGACCTCATGATTCTCATTTGCTCTGACATGCACTGTGAGCTGTAAGGTCTTATATAGACAGGTGTGTGGCTTTCCAAATCAAGTCCAATCAGTATAATCAAACACAGCTAGACTCAAATGAAGGTGTAGAACCATCTCAAGGATGATCAGAAGAAATAGACAGCAC